AAAAACAAAACCAAAAAACCAAAAAACTTTCATTTACTTTGCTTAAATTGTATCACCTAGTATAATGTTTTATACTCCATTTAAGTATGAAATACCAGGCTGGAGTGTGGTTTAGCATGCCCAAGTCCCTGGGTTCAATCCCTAGTATCACCAAAATAATATAAAAAATCACTACCTGACTTGCTATTATCCAATAGGTTCATCACAGGAAATGAGGCACATCCCAACTTACTTGAAGAGAATTTAATAAAGGAGCTTTTTATGAAAGTTGAGCAGGGTGTAGAAGAATCATAATTGTTAGCATTAGACCATGGGACTAGGACGTGAAGAGGTAGTAGTTAGCAGAACTTGGAACAAAGGCTGTGTAGACACATAGCTTGGGTGTTTATTCCCATAGCTCCCTCTCTGCAAGCTTAACTAAGGCTGGTGGTGGCCCTCAAAGGCTTTATCAATTTATCAATGCAGGGACAGAACATGCTTCATTCCACAATGAGATTTCAATTAGCAAAACCAAGACTGGAATGTGCATATCAGGTTAATATCCAAGTACACTACTATGCCATTTCACATAAGGAACTTGAACATCTGCAGGTTTTGGTGTCTGTATTGCAGTTGTATTGGGAGTGGTCGTACTGCAAACAATCCTTTGTAGATATTGAAAGGTGGCTATATGCAATAACTCGATCACAATCATGACCCTAACTCCTAACCTCAGACCTCACAAATACATACATATAGTGAGGCCACAACACTAGGCTGGCTGCTGCTGATTCCTCACTCTCTGCCATGCTAGTGGTGAGCCATCTCCCTGGATCCTTCTAGCTTTTCTTAGGAATGCCTCTTGCCTGGCTCTCCGGGCATAACAGGCAGTTTCTTCTAGGCCACCATCAGGAACAGCTATAGAAGGCTACCTGCTTCCACTTGGGCACATACTCATCAGAGCATATGTACTCTAGTACTGGAACTGATCCCCCATGGACACCAAAGGACAAGTGTATACAACTTTTTAGGGATAAAAAAACACATCTTACTTTCAAATGGCTCAGGAAATCATGCACACGAGAAAAACAATTGAATGAGAAAATGATATATGGTTCTACTACATATACAACTCTCTCACGTGTGAAATTACGTTGGAACAGTTGAGTCTACTTTTTCAATCTTCTTTAACCTAATTGTTTTGGTGGTATTGGGGATTAAAGTCAGTGCCTCTTGCTTGTTAGACAGGTGTTCTACCACTTTAGCCACTCTGCCAGCCCTGTTTTGTGTTGGGTATTTTCGAGATAGGGTCTCTCGAACTATTTGCCTGGGGTTCACTTCAAACCATGATCCTCCTGATCTCTGCCTCCTGAGTAGCCAGGATTATAAGAGGGAGCCGCTGACACCTGGCTTAACCTTTAGAGAGCTTTAACAAGAGAAATTGAAATAAACAATGAACTTTTAATGCTTTAAAGTTAACTGAGTTACATCATAAAGTGTTAGAAATACCTGTAAAAATAGCTTTAAATATAAGGATGCAAGCAAGGTGATTAAACCGAAGTACAAATAATAGAGCTTCCTAATGTAAGCTTGAACACTTGATAGCACTTTGCTTTTATAAAATTCAAACAAACTACCCGAAGAAACAATCTAGGGCATGTGGTTCTAGATTTGAATGAGATCTCCAGGTCACATAAGGAACTAGCAATCCTGGTTTCTTTCAAAGAGTCAAAGGGGAGCCAATTACTGCATTACCACTTGGTATCTTCTGATTTTGGAACCAAAATCAATTCAAAGTGTAAGAAGTTGATCAGTTAAATGCTGCACTATGGGTCATCTGTGGGATTGTTGAAGGTCAGGCGTATCTAAAAACAGCTTCTTAGGCTCTAGAAGATGAATTACACACCTGTACTATCCTCCTTTCAGCAAACTGATCCATTTGCCATGTTAGAAACACAAACACAAACACATCTTACTGTAGATGTGGCCACTGATAGAAAAGGTTAAAGATTAGTACATAACTTGGTAATTATTACATCAGGTGCTAATGCAGAAATCTAAACATTTTGTCTTTAAATTGTGAACAGAAATTCTTGGTTTTGAAAAAATGCACTTATTGTACATTCACTCAACAGTATACTAATCCATCATTTGAAGCGAAATTCTGGAACTGGGGGTGGGACTTGAGGTAGAGTGCCTGCTTTAAGTGCACAAAACCCAGAGTTCAAGACCCAGTCCCACCAAAAATACTCTGGGAATAGAACCCAGGGCCTCCTCCCACATGCTAGCCAAGTGTTCTACCAACTAAACTATCCCTTCAGCCCTAGGTTATTTTCATAAGTGAACCAGAATTTAAGAAAACTACACTGTCCATATAGTAGGTTACATCACATCTGAAATACTTTTTAGTGATACTGGAATTTGAACTCAGGGCCTTATGCTTGGTAAGTAGAGGCTGTAACACTTGAGCCATACCCCTAAGCCAACATCACATCTGAAATTAGATGCAACAGAAATTGAAGTTGGGAAACAGTGGTCTCTGAAAGCAAGGTTAAGTAATGAAAATGTGATGCTGTTGAAGCATAAACTACCAAAGCTTATAGTGTCTCCCATGTGTGTACAGGATTAAGGAAAAAGGTTAAATTAAAGCTTCCTAGTTTATCTGAGAAGTAATTGTGTGGGAAAATACTCAAGCCACTACAAGACAAAAATGGGTTCATTTTATATGAAAACAAAAGATGTTTAAAAAAAAAAGACAATATATTTAAATTTTAACAGGATTTATTATTATACTTTTCCATCCTTATAGTCCATTGAGTTTTTATCCCTTTTATTTCATGGATGACAGTTAAGTGCTAAAGTTAACGATGTGCCCAAGATGAACTACCTATTATGTTGATCTCAAGTTCCTGTTTCTAAAGAAATGAAACAAGATCCTTTCTTCATACAGGACAGAGAAGGCGATTCTAATACAAATTACCAAGATTTTGGTACAAAGTGGGAATACACAATAAATTCAAAACAAGTCTTTGCCTTCAGTACGTATTTTATTGAGATAAAGCATAAAGTAGGTTAACAAAGTGAAAAAAAAAAAAAAAGATCCAAGATGAAAGGTGGTAATACAGGAGTGGGAACATAAATGCTAAAGGGACAGGCAGGACTCAAACTGGCCATAAAGGCACTGTGGTATTTTAATAAACACTATCAAGCAGAATGGGTACTCAAGATGTTCCTCACTTCTCTTGTGCTACCTGGTTAACACTCCACCCACCCACTGATCATTGTGCAGCCTGTTGGCTGATTCTCAGATTCTGTTCACTAGGTAGCAAGGAACTTAAGCATTTCAAATTAGCCAACTCCACGTTCTCAAGTAGGCCAATGTTTTAAGTATAGTGGTTTAGTGCATTCAATGCCTTGGGTCTAAATGTATGGAACAGGACTAGATTCTTAATACAGTGGCCTATGCCACTACTAGGAAATTCTATTACCCACTTATTGGGGCAGCTAACAATGTAGGCAAATGCCTCCTGCTATGTAACGTCACATTAACAGGAAGCCCAGCTGAGTATGTTGCATACTTTCAGAAAGCCAAATTTCATCCTACTATCATTAACCTCCCTCCTTAAAAGGCTATGGTTCAAAAGATTTTACATTCTTTCCCTGAAAGCTAAAAAACTTTGGTTAAAGAATTTTGGGGGAGAAAGGGGGGGAGTAGTACTGGGGTTTGAATTCAGGCCCTCCTGCATGCTAGGCAGGCACGATAAAGCCAACTCTTGAGAGCTATCATTTCTGTTCTTGTAAGAGGTAAAACAGTGAAATAGAGAACTACAGACACTTCATTTTTTCTTTTTAAATAAACTCTTTTCTTTAAAATGACAAAGAAAGAGACAGTACAGCTTCCAGCCACATCAATCTTATGGGACACTATATTTCTAAGGTTAGGTTTTTAAGACTTTTTTTTCTAAACAGAAGCCTATGAATTTTCTAAGGCTTTTCTCCAATTACCAAGTACTCCCAGTTACCTATGATGGGCACCTACCTAGATACTTCAGTCAATTATCAGCCCATGAATATCATGCCTAACTTTCAACACCTGACAGTGACAGCGCCAAGGCAGGCATTAAACCTGAGCCAATTCATCTACAACTTGACTTTAGACTAAAGTTAACAATTACTTAGAGGAAATAAGTATCCAAACAAAGGGATATAAGGTAATCCAGTTCTTGAACTGCAATCTCAACTATAATTAGGCTTACAGATGTTCAGATTAATTGCTAATCCAGTCATTCCCAGAAATCTGCAGTATTATAATCGTTTTCACAATATTCATTATACTTCACTGATTATCAAATACAAGATTTGCATTTACCTATTTCACCGTTTTTCCAAAGAAACAACCACACAAAAGTATAAAACTTACAAGGATGATCCAATTATCACAAAGCCCCATTAACTACAAAGGGGATTGATTGTTAGGAAGAATTTTAATCAGCATATGATTTTACTAAATAAATGGTCTGTTAAATGTAACGATCTCAGCAAAAAATGCAGTTATGTGTTTTCTGTTTGGAACATACTAAATATCTAATCAAAGAAAGGGAACTTCAATTTTAGGTAACATCAAAGACCACCAAACCATACTGACAACGCTAACCATTTCCAGAACGTGGGACAATTAGCTAAACAAGATCCCAAGCATTAGGAAGTACTTGTCAAAGAGTTCAATCAAACTGTATGCTTGAAGAGTTTCATTATTTGAAACCTATTTAATTTAGGCAAAAATCCTATTAACAGTCTGACCACAAAATACTTTTTATTTTTAACCCAACTTGTTAAAGGGGCAGATGAAGACTGGCAAATTTGATGAACAGCACAAATTATGTTATCCAAACTGAATAATTTATTGCTGGTCTGAGGCTTGCCTTGTTTTACACTGAAGTAAAAGTTACACTGTTTCCACAAACAGCAGATATCAACAAGTAAAGGGATTCAACAGTGACCTATTCAATAAGGCAATCATCTTGGTAGCAAACTTTTATTTAAATCTTACATAACTCAAGCTTTATAAAAAGCCAACATAATTGAAAATTGGGTTCTCCCTCTAAAGCCTGAAAGTATCCAAAGCTTGAAACAGTTAATTTAAAAATAAGCGAACAAATAAAACAACAAAACCCCCTGCAGCAGATCCTGCTGAAATACTTAAAAAAAAAAAATCTAAAGGAGCTTAATCTTTACAAAAGTTATTTTAGCTCAAAAGCTATAAAATCAAAGTTATCTTAATTCTACAAAGAAGGGAGAGAGAGGGTCTTTGACTTCATGCCACCATTTTAGAACCTCATCTTTTTCATCAAATTTGGCCACAAATCAAATTTGTGTGCTCCTGTTTTCAGGAGATCCTCTCACAGAAGAGGCCAAGTACAAACACGTAAGAGTAACTGCCTAAGCAAGTAGGAAAAGTGTTCCATAATAGTGTGCAAAGAACACAGAGTTCTGGGTTAATCTCTGGAACTTGATCTGGACCTTGACCTTGAGCGAGATCTAGAACGGGATCTGGAAGTAGCTCTTTTTGGCGGAGGGGACACAGAACGAGCCTTTGAGGGTGGAACAGGTAGGGGTGAATGGGAGCGGGACTGGCTCCTTGATCTGGACTTTGACTTTATATCACCTTTTCCATTTTCTTTGGGGGACCGAGATTGAGACCGAGACCTGCTTCGAGATTTCTCGTACTCATCCTTAGATCTGCTTCGAGAGTGTGAGTGAGAGCCTCGATCAGACTTGGGCTTAGATTTGCTCTTTGATCTAGATTTCCTGCCTTTTGATCGAGACCGTGATCGACCTTTGCTCCTCGACCTGGACCTGGACAAGGAAAGACATCTCGTTCACAAATGTGTTTGTCAGAATACATGTGTACTCCACAAACAAGTACAACTGTATTTAGGAAAAAAGTCCCAATACCACATTATTTACCGGGAGCGACTTTTGGAGACACTTCGAGATCTACTGCGGCTACTCCTCCGACTCCTACTTCGTGACCTTCTTCTAGAGCGTGACCTATATAAGAAACACAATGAAACCTGAATTTAAACAAGAGCATGTTTAGGCTACTTAGCAAAAACAGGTAAGCCAAAAAAGGATGTACTTGCTTACTACAAAATTAAGCCCACTATCAAAACTGCAAAGTACTCAAAGTACTCTCCCACCCACTCCATGTCATTCAAGTTACCTGGATCTGCTTCCAGAATAAGATCGCCTATGGCTTGTTCGTGGCTTATCTTCAATAAGCCTGATATTTCTGCCATTTATTTCTGTACCATCCAGCTTATCCAAAGCACGCTTCATGTCAGAGTAGGAACGAAATTCAATTACCCCCTCATTTGTGCGTTCTTTGTGAGCATCTGCGTATGTTACTTCACCTGCTTGCCGCATGAAATCCTAAAAAGCAGTAACACTGGTCAGATCCAGAACCAAACATTAAATTTTGTCATTTAAATCTCAAATCACAGTATATACCTTTAAATCTTGCCAACTGCAACGACTAGAAAGATTTTCTACAATAAGTCTGTATTCTGTACGAACAGGTGGTCCATATTTGTCTCTGCCAGAGGTTCTCCGACTGCTGTAGCCACCTCCACCACCTTTATCACATGAAGGGAACAATTAGATGCTTTGTAATGAGAGAGGTGCATAATGTTTTTGAAAGTTAGTACAAACATATCAACTTTTATTTACTGGAGTAGGACTTTGCTATTATACTGCTATACCTTTGATACATTTGTGATTTGCCACAAATTAAATTAAGGGCAAGTCAAATAGACTAAATCCCACTAAACCTCTCCTGCAATCTGTTAGAGAGTGACTGCTCCTTTATTCAATTTACCTCGCTAAGTTTTATTTTACAGAACATTGTAAAATATAAAACTTAACTGATTACATGCATTTCTACATTTTACAAAAATGTTTACTAGTTACACTAAGTACTTACATCACAGTGAGGTTTTTGGTGGTGGTTTGGCCACAAAACACGCAAGGTAACAGTCACCTAGTTCAGATTAACCAGTTTTGTCTAACCCTTGGAATCCTCACCATCACCCTGCGTCTAATGGCAAAAGGCTGCTGTCGTCATGGCTTCCGGTAAGGTCAGCCAAAGGGTCATAGGGCAAGGGTCACACAATGTATGGAAAAGCCAAGGCCAATCAGGAAAGGCAGTCATCTTAGCCTCAGTGGACACAGCCTCAGCCCCATTGGTCACTTTCAAATTGAAACATCAAGGACTTGTTAAAAAGTTTGAATTCAACATGCAACAATTTCAACATCAAACATTTAACATATCCAAAATCCCCCCAACCTCCTCCCAATAACATGCCCCAACTACTTCAAATACAGCATAAAGCTTATTTAGATTTACTTTGTGGTACAATACCACATTATTTAAAAATAGCGTATTTTTGCCCCCCCCCCATAACTCTCAAGACCTGTACTTCAAGCTCCCCCCGGCCCCGTACCCGTACCCCACCTCCACCCCATCCTGTCCAACTTCCACACTTCTAGCTAATGCACTGACAGGTAAGTAAGCAAGGGGAATGTTAACAAATACAGTCGCCCCTCACTTGCAACGTTAGCAGAACCCACGACAGTGCAACGAGGGGCAGCAGGAGCCACCCCCTCCCAACTTGGCCAAATCCCAGAATCCAAGACAAACACCCAGACCCAATCCCCGCGCTCCGGTGTGTCCCATGGCTGCCCCGGGCAGGCGTGAAGGCAGCGGGGCCCGGACACACCCGGGTCAAACCACCCTCGGCCCCCGCGCCTGCCCGGGCTGGGAGGCCCCACCCCGCCCACCCTCGAGCCTGCGCCCGCCCCCCAGGTCCCAAGACGCGGAGCGCGCGGGGGTGGGACTCACTGCGGCTTCCGTAGCTGTAGCCGTCGCGGTCCCGGCGCGGGCCTCGGGCGTGCTCCACGATCACGCGCTCGCCGCAGAGCTCCTTGCCGTTCAGCTCGTAAACGGCGTCGTCGGCGTCGCGGGAGTCCTCGAACTCCACGAAGCCGTACCTGGGGGCGGAGCGCGGGCCGGGCACCGGCCAGGGCGTCGTTAGCTGGCGGCGCGCGCGTGCGCGCACCCACACCCCTTGCGCGCCCCCGCGGCCCCGCGCAGCCGCCATCTTGGAGGCCCTGCCACGCGGCGTCGCGGCCTTGGCCGCCTTTTCTGCCTGGCGGCCCTCGCCGCCGCCACGCCGGGGCCGCTGGGCCCAGACGCCGGAGTCCAGGCCTAACTCACCCATTTTTGAGGTCTACTTCGAGGAGACGGCCATAGCCGCTAAAAAAACGCTGGATGTCCTTTTCCCGGACGTTGTAGCTCAGGCGTCCTATGTAGACGCGCGGCATGTCCGTGGCGGACGGGGTCCCGAAGGCTGGCTGGCGAACGGCGGACCGCAAGGCAGTAGCCGCGGTGCGGGTGCGGGGACGGTGAAAGCCCGAACACGCGCCTCACACCGCAGTGGCGGCCGAGTCCAGCCACACAATGGTGCGGGCGCGCGCCAAGGCTACGCTATAAGCGCGGCCGGGGGGCGGGACCCGGCGCGTGACGTCGGCGCGCAGCACGTACCCTCCCTTTCGCCTCTGGGCTCGAGAGTGACTTGCGAGTTCCCCGCCCTCAGTGTCAAAGTGCGATTTTGCTTCTGGAATTTTCCCTAGCCCTCCGCACCCATCTATGTAAACATAGTATCTTGTAGTTCAGTGGCTGAAGTAGCCTCTGAGCTGTGCCTTTTTATAACAACCGTCTTGCGCGTTCTCTCCGGCTGCAGGGTTGGGAGGCAGGCTTAAGAAAGTCTCCGTTTTTCATTGGTTCTCGAGGTTGTCATAATCGGCCGCCGTGGTTTCTGATAGGTCTGTTGAAACGAGGCTGCGCCTTCCCTCCACCGATTGGTTCGCGCTCACTTTTGTGGGGAACGTGCTCTTGGGCACAGTTGGTTAGCTGGTTTCACGGAGTCCAAGAATTACGCTCTGAGGTCGTGGTGACCCGGGCAGGGCCGCGTTGGAAGTGCACTGCCTTCCCAGGTGCAGCCCTCGGGGACTCACTCGGCCTTCAGGAGCGTTCGCCACCTCCCTGCATGCTCCCCTGTCCACGGCTCTTCCCCGGAGCACTGGCGGCTCCTCGACTGGAGTGTGCTCGGGAATCCCGCCCTCGCTGCAGTGCTCACAAAGGGAGCGTGGCCAAGGCCCTTGGCACCAAAGGCAGTGCCCAAGAAGGTGGAGTAAGACCTGGCAGGCTTCCCGACAGCAGTGAGCTCCTTCGAGTCCCTACATGGAGAGTTCTTGCACCAAATACTGTCCTTTCCCTTACTGGTTTGGAAGGCACCTTATTTATGTGACACAAATTTGTGAGTTTGTCAACAGGGGTGCCATTTACAACTGCAAAACTAGATAACAAACAATCTCCGCCCCCCCCCCCCAAAAAAAAAGTGAGCTTAAGTGGACAGTAGAAACGGAAGACTCAGGAGCCAAAAGGCTGCTGGGAAGGAGTGAACAGAGATCTAAGGAAAAAGCAGGAGGGAATGGTGTTGCAGAAGCTGGGAGAAAAGGATATGGCTGAGCTAATACCAGCTGTTCAGGTATTTCTGTTTTCCCGCTCTTTCTGAGTTGTGCAGCCTCAATATCAATCAGCTTCTATTGAAATGGGACAATTTTGTGTGTGTCCCCACCCCTATTTGACAGTCCAGAAGCATCGTTGGTTGTCATGGCATCTAGTGGATAAAGGTCAACTTTAAGGTTAGATAAATGAGAAACATGGGTATACTTAAAATTTTTAGGTCTTTTCTCACACACACACTCACACACACACACACACACACACACACGTGCGCACGCACATAATTTCGGTGGGACTGGGGTTTGAACTCAGGGCTTTGTGCTTGCAAAGCAGGCTCTCTATAGCGTGAGCCACACTCCAGTTTCATGAAATGTAGCTTGGGGAAGTGAGGATTCAACAACATGATAACATTTTTCACTCATCGAATTGTCAGTGTTAAAAAATTTGACAATATTCATTTTTTGCAAGAGGTGAACCAGGAAATGACACTTCTCTGGTATTGGTGGGCCTGAACCCTCCTTTTGGAAAGGAGAAAAGGATGCTTATGGGAAGTGAGTGCTGCCTCCTCTTTCCCTTGTTTGCCCAAAGGAAAGATGAAGCAGATGTTCACCTCTCTTTCCCTGAGCCCAGTGGCTCAAAGAGCCCCAGCAACAGAAAACAGTCTTAAACATCATGGGGGAGGGTTAGACTGTCAACATTCTGTGGAGTCTTGCTGATGATCTAACTTGATGTTTTGGAAGAACAAGGCAAAAGAGAAATGAAGGAGGTGCAGCACAAGAGCTTTTTCTCTTCTGCCCTCCCTCCTGGGAGTGCTGGAGATTGAACCCAGGGTCTTGCATATGCTAGCCAGGTGCTAAACCACCAAGCTACATCCCCAGTCCAGCTTATTTCTTTAAACACCTACAATTGTGGTAGATAAAAGATTACTCCATCACTGCTCATTTTAAAATTGTGGAGGTAGAGGTAACTGCAGCAATCTGCTAACAGGAGAAGGAGAGTTGCTTCTATCTAATCCAGCAGTGTTAGTAACTTCAAATTCATAATTACCCAGATTGTAAAAGACAGTCTACAGTGTAAAATGATTGTGGTTTTCTACCAAGTGCAAATTCGTACATATGTTAGTTGGAAACCAAATGAATTTTTAAGCGCCATGTGATTTGAAGTGGGTGTAAACTGAATTCTGAATGATTTTGCTATCTTCTGTCTGGAAAATTTGTCATTCCAGCAACTGTCATCATGAATGGGTTTTGGGAGAACATGGCAACTGTTATGGTTAATTTTAGGTGTCAACTTGGCTGGATTTAGGAATACTTAGAGAGTTGGTAAAGCGTTATTTATGGGGGTGTCTGTGAGGGTGTTTCTGGAAGAGGTTGGAATTTGAATTAGCGGACTGAATAAGGAAGATCTGCCCTTACCCAATATGGGCAGGCACCATCCAAACCATCCAGTTGGCTAAAGGCCTGGAAAGAACAAAAAGGCAGAGGAAAGGTGAGATTGCTTTCTCTTCTGGAGTTGGGACAACCATTATCCCCTGCTTTTTTTTTTTTTTTCCCAGTACTGGGGTTTGAACTCAGGGCCTACACCTTGAGCCACTCCATCAGCTCTTTTTTGTGTTAGGTATTTTCAAGATAGGGTCTTGTGGAATTAATTGCCTGGGGCTGGCTTCGAACCACGATCCTCCTGATCTCTGCCTTCTTGAGTAGCTAGGATTACAGGCATGAGCCACCAGTGCCCGGCTATCCCCTGCTCTTAACTGTCAGGACTCTGTTTCTGTGGTCTTTGGACTTTAGGACTTGTACCAGTGGTCCCCTGGGATCTCAGGCCATCGGCCTCAGACTCAGAGTTACACCATCAATTTCTCTGATTTTAAGGCCTTCAGATTTGGATCCAGGCACCCTATACTGACTTCCCTGCTTCTTCAGCTTCCAAATAGCCTAGCCTATCATGGGTCTTCTCAGTCTCCATGATACCATAAGCCAGTTCCACTAGTGAATCTCTTTTTTATCTATCTATCTTCTGTCTGTCTGTCTGTCTATCTATCATTAGTTCCATCTCTCTGAAGAGCTCTAACAATTACAAGCCAAATGTGTATTTATGGAATGGAGTGAATGTAGCAGAGCTTGCACCAGAAACACAATCTGGAGCTGGAAACTGCCTATGACAGAGTGAGGAAGAATCACGAATCAGATGGAAAACAGGCTCTTCGACTGGGAGATTGGGTTAAATGTTGCTGAGTCAGTGCAAACCCTTGTTTGAAAACAACTGTACAAGATCATTGAGAGCAGTGTTTCTCAACCTCAGCACTGCTAGCATTCGGGGCCAGATATCCCCATTTTGGGGGAGCCATTCTATGCCTTGTAAGATGTTTACCAGCATCCCTGGCCTCTGCTCACTAAATACCAGTAGCTCTCTCCCACCTCCAGGTGTGACAATAAAAAATGTCTTCAAATGTTGACAGATGTCCCTGAGGGACAGAACTGCCCCTGTTGAAAACCACTGATGTAGTGCTTCTGACAGTGAGGGGACATGTAGTGCTGAGGTTGAGTCTCCTTGTGTTCCGCATGGTTAAGTAGTTAACTGGGGTTCTCAACTAGATGTTGATGGATAAAATGAGGTTTCCGTCCTCTCTAAGAGCAGGGATATACTGAGATTTGGTGTCATGTGATTGATATGTTGTGGTTAGAATATGTGCACTGTGAACTGTGAATTGTCTTTCTGACTAAATACATGAATTTGGGTCCACAGCATGCAAGCACATACCTGATAAAATGCTTGCACTAAAAACTTGTGAACAAATAAAATCTGTTGGCGTTAAGTGGAAAAAGTGCACATAGTACCAGAGATATCAGTTTGTGAGTTTGACATAAACTGGATGAAACCCCAAAGGACAGGATTAGATGAAGAGCTGATTAATTTCTATGTACATTTGCTCTTCATGGTGCTGAGGATGGAGCCAGGGACTTGCACATGCTGGACTGACCAGCGCACTGTGACTGAGCTGCACGCCCAGCCCTTAATTCCTATTGCACTCTTATGGCTGCTGTAACAAAGCAGTACCATACCAGTTTGGTAGCTGAAGGCATCACAAATTTACTAACTTACAGTTCTGGAGATCAGCAGTCTGTAATGGTTCACTGGGCTAAAATAAAGGTGACAGCAAGGCTGAATTCCGTCTGGAGGCTCCAGGAGGAGATCCTGTTCATTTGCATTTTCTTGCTTGTGGTTAGCTGTCTTCATTCTTTGGCTTGTGGCTCTGTCCTCCCTCTTCAAAGCTATTAGCTGGTGGAGCTCTTCTTACACTAATCACTCTGACCCTGATGCCAGCTTCTTTTTTTGTTATTATTTAAAAATGCCATTTGTTGATCCTTTACTTTTCTAAAAAGCACAAACATGACAACAGAACATATACATCCCAGACTCACTAGCACTTGCAGGACAGAAAGCAGCCCAGGACAGGAAGCTACAGTAGTTTTAATATAATGTCAGAGTTTCCTGATTCTCTCTAGGGCTCCATGTTTGTCACCTTTGACAAGAGAAAGGAAACTGACTGGAAGATCCATGAACAAGAAGGTCACAACTTTCATGCTATCTGATGCTTACGGCGTGTACATTCCCATTTATAACTCTGAGAACAGTATCAAAAGCACTGTCAAGTACCTATCCACTGAGCAAACTGTCCTTATTTTTGGAAATTACCTTTGAAACTGGTCATGTTCTATCAGAGTAGTTTCTTTTTAACCCAGAACATGAACTGCAGATCACATACAGTTAACACATTTGGGTATAAAGGTTTGTTTCAGAACAATCCCAGGTTATCGTGATGTTTATACTTCTGTAGTGTCTGCTGGGTGTCACCCCCGGACAGGCTGGGTCAAGTGGCAGCACAACAAGAGGGCACACATGGACAGCTGTCCCACTACCAAATTTGCTTCTTGTT